GAGTATTATAGAAGAGTATACCTCAAAGCTCATTGTGTCACTGCAACATATATTGACAGAAATGAAGCCGAAGATGAAGACATCAGAAATGCAAATCCCCAAGCGCTTTTTGGTAGTCATTGTAACAAAGCTTTCTATTGGTCGGTAAACTTTCTATCGCGCAACCACGTGACATACACGGTTATGAATAGAATTACCGCACGGTGTTGTGGAGGGAGGAATGTTCGAACGGAGCATCACCGTGCAGGCGGACGATAATTGTTTCAAAATATCATATGACTGTAGCTCTATGACTGTACACATTAATAGCTGTAATTTATGCAATTTACATGCAAATTATAAGTAGGCTTAATATCCTTAACGTGGCCAATAATTCCTTCTAATTATCATATCAATATTGTGCCAAACATTCTATTTATATTCAGTTCGTGTATATTTCACATACACAAATTCAAATATTACAATTGACTATTCAATGCAAATGATAAAAGTGTAAATCACTCTTACCCGTTTTTACATAATGTACATATAAGCCATTGACAATGTCCACGCGGGATTTCAACGTCGCTACAAGTCGTATAAACATGGTATTTCCAGTTGATAATATTCTGTATTCGCCGTTCACCAGCCCAATGTTTCCAATAGGTCGACTGGTAGATGTCAATCCATCCCTGGCAACCAGTGATGGAGTTGTTGAGATGTCTGAATATGAATCAACAAACAAGTTTGGTATTATATGAATAATATTAACGTTCGTATGTATGTATGTATGTATATGTGTGTTGGGGGGGGGTCTCACATAAAAGTGCATACTCATACATATGTAGTAATATCAGATTAATACTCCAAACTAGACTTTTAACCATATGAACGACAAAGACAACGTATATCTCCTTTCGCAAAAGCATGCATGTATATGTTGATGTATATTTTCAAAATTGTTGATCAAGAGCTGTAGCCTTTGGATAATTATGTGCGCGTGGACCCAAAAATAAAAGAAAATATGAATAAAATGTTTTATCAACTTTCCAGCGGGAAAAAAACATGCATAACGCGTGATTATGTGGTAGTCATGTTCGCAACTTCGGTTTTTGCGCGTGATACAAAATGAAAGGAAGTTGATGATACATATCCCCATGGCAAAAGTGCACGTTCGTTATTTTTCTTGAAGTTTGTTTTAATCTAGACTAATGCTACTACTGCTTGCACCATCAATGCATATAATTTTTACGATCAACAAAAGTCATGATAGTCGTACTTACAACTCAGCGTTAGATTTTGAAATCTAACCCACACTTTATGACTGGTTGGCGCTTTAATGCTCCATATGACATCGAAATTTGCATCTTCATTGTCCAATGCTTTGATGAATAACAGATGCGAGGGACTAGTGTAGAACTCGCCAATTACTGAAAGAAAGTTGTAAGCGGTATATATCAGTAGACCTACTGATAGACAACAACATAACATATCACATGAGCGGATACAGGATATTGTTATGGGGGGGGGGGTCCAAACTTTAAAATGAAATATAAACTAAGTTAATGATTTTTTATATTATACAAAAACAAATTGATTACATTTTTTCAACAGTGGGGGGGGGGTCCCCCCGGACCCCAAAGAACCCCTCTCCTAGATCCGCCACTGTATAACATCATATGGTCAATTCATTGAGAAGATGGCACTTATCTAGATATGGCAGGTGTTTCAAAAAGGGTGAGTACATTTTGATTCATGTGAATCATAAGTATTATATATAGTATGTGTTGTACATTGGGCAATTTGCATTAAAGTTGTATTCATAAATCTGTGGGGTACCATCTTCAGACCAATATTTCACCATAGAATAATCATAAAAACCGCAAGACATATTGATTCATAAGGAGGGGGTTTTCATTATCAATTGATTTCAGTGGCTGAGTGGTTAATGAGATCTGAGCATTCAGATGTGGTGTGTCATGCCTATGGGTGATCCCATCCAATTCTTTTTTCTCGAAATATTAATGACATTGGAAATCATATCAAATATGCAGTTACCTTAAACTGTTTTTATCATTTTTATACATTTTATGGTAATATCTATGATTTCTAGTGATTATTTCGGTGAAAACAGATATTTTCGTATCCACAATCAATTGTTTACAGTATTGTTACAGTATGAATCACAGACACTAGATTTACACAGACTTGCATGCTGTTATAAAATACTTGATTTAGTTGAAACAAAACGTACACGTGTTAGAATAACGTTTACTTGATACATTATCAAACAATTAACAACAAATCAATACAAATTGCAATTTCACTTTTTAAACAAAATATATTTGCATGCACCATTAAAATACACGTAAGCGTGCAAGTACACATGCGTTACCTTCAGGTTTATCTTCCCATACGTCATCGGCTACAAATTTATACGATGCTTTGAAACCTACAGCGAAATCTGAATCTCTTGAGCCAGAGAGGAATTCTACCCAGAGTTCCGAACTACTAGACACAATTGCAGGGGGTCGGGATGCACCATGGTACGTCCCATATAGCTCGGATGTGTCGTTTGGTCCATTACGGATCTGAAAAGAAGTACATTCCATGAAACCATTTGCGTGATCATCAACCCAGTTAGTATTTTCAACGATATTTTGCAGGAAATATATGTATATATGAAACGGGCGTACTTGCACGTGGTCGGGTGTATACTCAGTGAGAATAAAATCGTGGAAGAGAAGCTGAATATGGCCTCCATCACTGTTCTCTATACGATATACAACCCTGTAAATCCCACCCGGGTAACGGTCTGGAAAATTAGGTGATGTAAATGTTCCCGTATCATTGTGCTCATGTGTGCCAGTAAAGTGATAGAGTAGTCCTCCTTCTAATGAAAAAAGTAAAAAATAAATGAATGTTAAATTACATATACGGTCAATTTATTCGTTTATATATGTCGTTCCTAAATTTATTGTGTTCAATATAATATACAGACATGAGAATCGAGAATCGCTGTAAAACCGATTTATTATTTCGTATCCGTGATGTCAACGCTTATGTTATTAGACACGTAATTTACCCTGTGACTTGACCGAAGTCCAGATGGCGAGGAAGACACAGGCAAGCAAGGCTTCTCTTGTCATGCTTAACCCACCAAGTCTCAGATGTACACCAGACTTCTCCTGTCAATATTTAAATTACTGAAAAGCAAACAAACACGGATAAACAAGTCGCGACTAACAACTGACTGTTTATATCACTGGTAGTTTATGTTTACTTAAACGAATATGTCATAAATATACATTTCGGTAAATGATTTATTGTTAATAATAAATATAAATGTATTCTATTCAACACTGACAGCTATAGTCTTACCCCCACAACTACCCTCGATTGACTGCACATTGTGTAATAAACCACTATATGTAAACATCGTCATGTCAACAAAACTTCCGTTAAAATATACAGTGTTGAGGCGTGGGATGCCAAAAGCTGCAATATTTGACATACAAGATATACCATACTTTCAAGTTTCATATAAATTGGTACACCTTAAGGCAAACTGCGAACTTTTAATGATATTCTACTACACTGTTCATTGAATTGGCAGTCGATGTAGGTTTGCTATCTCACAACGTTAATGTTTATAGGGATCCGCCATGTTGGATTGAGATAGAATGGGTCAGTAGACACAAAGACAACATACTGCATACAAACGTTTACACACACCTACGTACTCACCAAGTTAATTCGACACAAACTGCAGTATATAACCAAAAAAAAAAAATCCTCTGGGGTAAATTCTTGATTTCAAAACAAAATGTATAAATTGTGGAACTGATGAGGACAGAATAGTGTGTTTTGTGCGCGTCGTACACTTCGCGTCAGGTGATGCTGATGACGTAGTTACCGACGAACTTTGGACTGGGGTGCGTACCACACAGTATCGACCACCCAAATGATAAATGTATTAATAACTATATCGTCATGGTTACTCAGATAAGCACATACAAGTATCACCCTTTTTTTCAATTTTTTTTTTCTGTTACAAGGCCCGAATTTTCTCAAACTTTGTTTATTTCCGCCAAAGTTTAATGTCAATGTCGTCACTAAAATTCCATGTATAGATTTGTTTGTTGCACGTGTGATAAAATTTATAAAACTTGTTATTGCGTACATGTTTTACCAAACAAATAAACAATCCAAATATAATTGTGTATCTTTCCCAAATTATCACATTTTTTCACTTATTTCTATTATCCACTTTGTATTGACCAATTTACACTTCAAAAACCTCGTTTATCCCCAGACGATTGCGTTTTTCGCACCGTATTTCAATGAAAATGAATCCTCCATCCACCCAATCTACACCATACAAACAATGTTGATAAATAAACCATCAATGCATTATGTAACATGAAATTAACACGTGCACAGAGAAACGACAATACACAACTAACAGAATCACATTTTCGGGCGATGGGTATGTATACAATACCAATAGTTTGTTAGTGTTAATTGCAATGGTGTAAACACTCCAATAATCAACCAATTTTCTGGAAAATGTACTTGTCGTAAAAACGACATTTTACGACATCGCACAGTAACGGCGAACTATGTACAGGCGTTGTTTTTACTGCCCAAAAATGTGCCTCATTTTTCTAGATCTGAATATTGAATATTATAATACCCAACATTTTATTTATTTTCCATAGAATTAAAAATATTATTCCCGTTTTTGAAAGTTACTGATTTAGTATTCAATTATTATTCGCATTGTTCATCGGAGTTAGAAAGTAATGTCCATGGTTTATTTCAAATATATATACTCAGTTGATATTAATTACATGAGGTAAGTTAGTCAAACACAACGATATGGATATATTGGTATAATATAATATATTTATATTCTTATCTTAGCATTTATCGGAAATACATCTTGTATGTTACTGTAATAACAATGTAATATTCTTCGTATTTATCGTAAATACACGTTGTGTGTTGCTACATACGAAGTACTGTCTTAGTAAGTATTGGTAGTACTCGTTGCCTGTTACATTGTAATAACATCGCACTTACTCTATTGCATTTGTAATACATCATCATACACGTTGTCTGTACTGTGATAACATTGTTGTATTTGTTTGTAAACTGCGAACACATCTTATAATTGTATTTATAATCATTAGATAATAAACGTTGTCTATTACTGTTACATTTTACTATTACTTTTGAAATCATTGAGTGAAACACGGTGTCTGTAGCATAGTCGTTATTTTGCTAATTTTGGTTCGGTGAGTTTTTCGAATGCATACGCTACTTTTAGCACAGTGCTTTCATCAAAGTGTTTCCCTACAATCATCATGCCCACAGGAAGTCCGTCTGCTTTGAATCCAGCATTGATACTTATAGCAGGGTGGCCAGTGACGTTGAAAGGCAAAGTATTGACACCATTGCCAGCCGATTCATCAAAGCATTCTATCGGAAAATGGAAGAATCCAGGTTAAATGTATTGTAATATCACTGAAGTTTTGTGATTGTCATATTATCGTGCTCTGGTTATTGTTATATCTTGAGAGGTTTGTTATTGTGACATCGCTGTTGTTTTGTGATTGTAATATCGTAGTGGTTGTATTAATGTGATATCGTGGTGGTTTGCTATTGTGGTGGTTTGTTATTGTGATATCATTGTGATTTGCTATTGATATATCATGGTGGTTTTGAGATTTGATATCGTGGTGGTTTGCTATTGTTATTACGTTGGGGTTTGCTATTGTGATGTCGTGGTGAATTTTGTTGTTTTGATATCGTGGTGGTTTGCTATTGTTATTACGTTGGGGTTTGCTATTGTGATGTCGTGGTGAATTTTGTTGTTTTGATATTGTGGTGGTTTGCTATTGTTATTACGTTGTGTTTTTTATTGTGATGTCGTGGTGAATTTTGTTGTTTTGATATCGTGGTGGTTTGCTATTGTTATTACGTTGTGTTTTTTATTGTGATGTTGTGAATTTTGTTGTTTCGATATCGTGGTGGCTTGCTATTGTTATTACGTTGTGGTTTTCTATTGTGATGTTGTGGTGAATTTTGTTGTTTTGATATCGTGGTGGTTTGCTATTGTTATTACGTTGGGGTTTGCTA